ACTTGGGCTTCTAGGAACTCTTTAGGCACAGGATCCCACAGAAAACAGACATTTCAATACTCTAGTTTCCACAACTTCAGCAAGTCCTGCTTGTTTTTCTTGTTAGAAGAAAAGCTCTTACAATTTTAAAGACATGCCCAGCTGCCTTCCTCAAAGGCCACCATGCTACATCAGCAACAAATTAACTGTCTTTCCAATGGAAAGGATTTCGAACTAGCAAGTGAACAAAACGCTTTTTCTGTTTCTCATGCGTACTGAAAGACAACTTTGATTTCCTATGAAGATCAGTTCATCAGACTGTGCATCTTGTATTCATACAAGATCTCCTACCTCTGCGGAAAACATAGCAAGGCCAGACAAAAGCTGGAGAAAGGAGAGGCTTGAGATGAGCACAGCTTCCAGTCACTGAGACAGGCAAGAAACTGGAATGGTAGGTGGTAAGGTTGGCAAACATTCCCCTTCCCTGCAGGGACAGGACAATAACGAAGTGAAGAGGCAGACTTCCTCACTCAGAAACACCACTCCCAGGTTTGTCTCTGCTAAGCATGATCTAAGTCCCTGCACACTGCAGAAAGCTGAGCTGCAGGGAGTAGGACGCTGTCTCAGGACACTGCAGTGCCATTCTCACACCACCCTGCAGGAACATGCTTTCTCAATGGCACTGTCATGAAACACTTCCGGACAAGCTCTGTGACACTTCCTATCCTCAGCCCTGACTTGACATGTAACAGTGACACTGTCCAGAAGGCACAGATGTCAACAGCTCTCTACAGCCTGGCTGGCAACACATTTGGGTAACCGATTAATGACTCTATGGTACCACCTTTTATGAATTACACTGCATGCCTCAAATTCTAGCACGCTCTGTACATCTACCACCACCATCAGTGTTTGCTAGTACAACTGGCAAAGGCTCCTGCAGGTTTCTGTAAGAACTCCTCTTGTCCAGCTAGACAGAACTACTCATCCAATCCCAAGACACTTTGTTAAAAAGGCTCTCCAGTGAGCTTTATTGCTGCCACTTTCCTGGGAACTCTACCAACAGTTCAGTAGGCCAGTTCTTTCTCTTGGCCTGCTTTGGCCTTTAACTTTAAGAGCTTCCATTCTTGGTTGTCTCTCACTGCCACCTCCTTTGTCACAAAAACCAGTTGTTATTTGACCTGCTGCATATTCCTAAATTAGCCTTTGCTTCCTCACTTTTTTCAAGAAGCATTGCCATTGCTTTGGCATGCTATTAGAGTGATCTGCTATGAACATTCCTGCAAATGGTTTATGCCAGGATCCTCCTGGAAACTTGCAAACCTGTTAATAGAATTCTTACAAAGTTTATTAAAATAAATGGTAAAGGATGCAGTTTACCATTACTTGAATAAAAGTGACATTTAACAACACAAACTCATATGTGAGGAAGGATACATTTTAAAAACATTCTATGGAAATGTTTTTAAAGTATCTGTTTCTGATCAACAACTCGGAGAAAGAAACTGAATCTGACAGAAAGTCTGATGCCTTCGAAGAGGGATAGCATTAAATGCCTGGGAGGACTGTATAAAGTACTCCCAAATCACACAATCTACTGCCCTTGGGAGAAGGGAAAAGAGACAGAATCTTCTAACACCTCTGTAGGCACTGATTACTTTATACCGCATTGCTTTCTAGCTCTTCTAGACTTCCAGACCAACTAGTGAGGACTTTTTAATGTATTCATCTTCAGCTAAATTTTCCAAACTCTTTCCTAAACTCTTTCCTTGTCATAAATTTTGAAAAAGAAAAAATTAAAATTTTCAATATTCTAGCAATAAGCTGTACTATAGATTTCAAAAGGGTTTTTATTTTGAAATGCTGAAATTTGCTAAATTCACTCTAGAGGCTCCTCTTTTCAGCTATTGCTAGAGAACCTCAGTCCCCACAGACTTCACACTTACGAACTGACTGCTATTATCTAGAAGGAAGTAACTTTAAATATATACATACATGATAATAAAGTATTGCACTCATTCAGCGTAGGCCACGCTAAACTTCCCCAAGTATAGCTGCTAGAATGAACAAGCCCATTAGCAACTTATTTTCTCTAATGCCACACACCAGACTTGTTCCCTGCACGTACCCTTTGGAGAAGTTGAGCAACAGTGGTGTAAACCTAAGATTAATATTTGAAAGATGGAGGGAATGTTGGAGCCAGGCAGCTAGTTACAGCACACAGCTGCAGCTATGGAAAACCTGCTCCCCCTTTCTGCAGAGTTTTCTCTCACACCATTGCCTTGGCACAGGAAACAACTACATTTCCAGCATCCTTTGAGTTGCCTCTAGCTCAGCAGTGACTCTGAAAATGATCTGCCTGAGGAGTCCACAAATGTGCCATTTGCAGGATTTTATACAGTGGGATCTGAAGAGCTTTTGCTGCAGCTACCTTCAATGCTGCACAATGACAGGAAGGGTCTAATTTCACCACCAGACCAGATATATCTAAGCCTTGCAAAGGAGCATCTGCAGTACATAATAAGAGCCTCTTTTCCTAAGTGCTGTGCCCAGCTAAACAGCTGCTGGCTCTGTCGGTGAGATCCTGTATTTTAACTTCTGACTGAATCCAAGCTAGAACAAGCATTAGGCCTGGATTAATTACTACTTTTGTTCTCAAAAAATCTCAGACTCTGGGGGACATGAACAGGACAGGCATTTCACAGACATTGCTTGAAAACCTTTGTGTAAGCAATTTTTGTTGCCAGAATGACAATAAGTGAATCCTTTTACCTGCCTGTACTTGTCAGCAACCAGCAGCTTGTTGCAAACATTCTGAATAAAAGGCACCTAGAGGTTCTAAGGGCATCTGTCAGCTTTGAAAAAGATCCTTGTGTTTCAGTCACCACAATCTGACTAGTGTGTTAGTTTTCTTCTAACAAAGCAAGAGATCATTTGTCATTGGCCCTAATTAGTAGTTACTGCTCAGAGATACTGAGGCATGATAACCCAGTTGTAACAAAAGGTTTGCAGAGCTCCTCACAAAATCTGAAAGTGAAAATACACTGACAAAGACAGTGTGACATCATATTCATGGGCAGGTGTAAAGTACACAACTTGAATGCATTCAGAGTAAAGGAGTTTGTTCCAATCTTGCTGCCTTCTTCTCACAACTCAAAATTACAGGGCTTTCCCTGAAAAATCGTAACAAGCAGTAGAGGTCGGCTTGTTACAATCTATTTCCTTCAGGCCTTTCAGGGAACATTTTTGCCTACAGACCTCAGTACCAACTAGACTTTGATTTCTCATCTACATTAAGTATTACATGTAAAACGCTGGGAACTAGAATGTGGGTTTGTAGTGGAGTTTAATACCCTTCTGTCATGTGAGGATGGCACCTGCTCACATACACACTTGCTTCTTCTGGCTTATCTAGGAAAGGTCTTTCTTGCAGAGAATACACCCATTAAAACAGGCCACAGTTTCAGATTCCGTGTCTGAGTGTAGTCTCCTCTAAACCCAGCCCATCACCCAACATGTAATGAGCACCACCTCCAAGGCATAACCTTGGGACCAGACATGTTTCCCCAACATGCAGCCAGGAAAGGAGGAGGGCTGCTGCGACCACTCAAGCCTTTACCAGCCTGAGGCCTCTCAGGCAGACTCAAACAGCGAGGGCCAGCCTTTACCAGGTTGTTTCAACTATGTTTCTCCATGTGAGAGGCCTAATAACTATGAGCTTGAAGAGGAGAATGAGATTCATCATCTCAAAAGACACTGGATTTCCAAATCCAATTCAGGAACCAAAATAGCATATTTTGCATTTTTGAGTAGCATATTTTTAAATATGCTACTTAGTTTCCAGTTTCTCATTTCAGGAGTTTGACTGTTACAGCACATACTAGGGCCTCCTGAGTTAAAAAAAAGCACACCTTTTACACCCTGCATATACACACTGAATTTCTTTACTGCTCACTGTTGTCAGATTTTCACTTTTGGGCTGATGTTCTCAGGACCAGTCAGTACTCAAAAGTAAGCAGTTACAGAAAAATTAATAGTTAAGGGCTTCCTGAGAGGGAAGGGAACAAAAAACAAGCAAACAAAAAAACCCCTCCAACCCAAAAAAACATCTCCCCTTAAAAGAAATCCTCCCAGTAATTCTGAAAGATGAAATAGCTGGGAATGGAAAAAAATAAGATTTAGAAGGGAAACAGCTTCGGCTGAAGTGTGAAAAAGTGTAATTGCATATACAAAGTCATTTATCAAAGCCAAATGTCAGACTTTGGAAGGAAGCCAACATGTGTATAGCCCTAATTTAGCTATTTGCATATTAAAAAGAAAATCACTGGAGGGTTGGACACTGAATGGAAACCAGCTATCCTCACCCAGAGCACTGTATGTTGTTAAGTGACTGGGGGGAGCCCCCTGTCATCCAGCTTCTAAACCAAGTACACTGTTTAAGCAGGTGCTTATGGTTAAGCGTGCTAATAGCCCATTAACTCCACCTATAATTAATGCCTGCAGATAAACCTTTATAGATTAAAAGCTATATACCAGTATTAACCAGTCCAGCTAAAATTCTGACAGGTAAATCTTTTCAGGAATACACATGCAGTATTTTGCAGGCAGATATGAACATGTTTTGTCAGTGCTCGGAGCCAGCTGAAAACAACAGTGCTGTTCAAAACAACAAGCCAAATTAAAGCACTGCGTCTATGACGACGGCACCATGGGTTCCCATTTCCTAGATGGTTCAGAGAACAGACAGGTAAACTCAGTCTAAAGCACAGACACAGATGATACCTGTCTACTAAAGACAATGTAAACATACCTTTTGTTGTCCTAGTTGCAAGAAAAGAAAAAGGAAAAATAGTTAGCACACTTAAAAAAATCCAAAGTGCAGTTTTTGTAAAGGGATATGTTTCTGCTGTTGTATACCACAATTGATTTAGGCTATCATGCACAGTCATTGTTTTAAGACATGGCAAATATCCCCACATGTCAGCTTTTAGAATAGTGTGGTGTCATCAGTACAAACTTACCTTCCTAGCTCTTCCCCAATTTCATAAACGTCCTCCACCTTCTGTTGCTTGAAAAAAGCCATATTTGGACTTTTCATTGATGAACAAAGATGATGTAACTAGAATATTAAGAAAGAATGACACTCATTATGATCTTCTAACAGTCAAAGACTCATAAAACACATTTCTGATATGGTCACTTGGGATCCATCGCAGCTCATTCATGGACAGAGTCACCACTGATCAATCAAAAGAGCTAATTCAGCAGTTTCAGCCAAATAGTGAGGATCCAAATCTGGAAAGAGGTGAGCGCCTATCAAGTGAAGAGGGTTCTTGCCACTCACTGAAGTAGCTAAGCACATACTTAACCAGAAGCACAGAACACACCTTGAAACATAAATGTGATGGAAGTAAAGCAACTAATTAATAATTTGACAAATTTATGGACAATAAAGCATCCACACTACATTGAAGAGGGCTAGCAGGAGAATCAGCATTATCAAGCTTCTTCATTAACGTGCCAGCAGGCAGACCACAAGGCAGAGCTTCCTTTTTCTCACGTCAGGCAATGCTTCTGAAGCACACTGGCAGGACAGCAAGTGGAAATCTGAACTACTGCTGCAAAAAAGGCACTGTAATTCCATCTACAGAGTTTTTGGTGCAACACCTTTCATCACACACTAGGTGTTTCAAATGAGAAAAAACATGAGCAGCATTTGTTGCATGCATTACTCTGTGTAACTGTGAAATCTGTTTCCTGAACACAGGAAAAAAGTTAACTATCAGCTTTAAAAAGTTGATAAGCTCTGTGAGGTCTGGAACGACATACCTCACAATGGTGCATTTGAGGAACTGGGAGTGCATTATGCTGTGCTGCTTTTGGAAGAGAAGATCAGAGGTCACATTATTCCTCAGGATACACCTACACAACAATGTATGTTATGTTAACAGAATGGATTTTAACATAATAACCAGCCAACCAGCTTGCGACACCCCTGGTGTTTCCTGTGTGGATAAACACCAAGGTTATCCCCAATGCCCCAACCAACATCCACTATTTAGATCAGAATGTGTAAAGTAGCTGTAAGGCCTCTGGCATCACAATAAAATCTAACTACATTGAGTCCTGCAGTTATTCTCACATATCTCTAGGCTTCAGCAGCATATCTGTACTTCGCAATGTAATGAATATTTCCTAATGAATCTCGGATGCTGCTTGCTGCAGATGCACTGGGGACTTCCAGGTTCCACACTTCTATACAGCTCCTGCATGTTTTTAAATAGCAGTCTTTGGCAGCTGACTGTGGCACACTGCAAAGCATTTTTCACAAGCAAACAAAGTTCTATTTTGCTCCTTTAGAAAAAAAACCTCAATTCAATGTTGCAAGAAGACCCAGCTGTTTTGATAAATCAGCAGACTTATTATAAAATGGGACAAAGTACCAAATAGCAATTGCAGGCTCCCTGGGAGGTTGAAATGCATGTATTTTTAAAGATTTTTCTCGAACAAAAGCATATACCATAAGCAGCAAATACATTGTAAAAATCTACCAACTTGTCAAAATGCACCCAGCTTTTGCCATGCACTCAACTCAGAAAAAAGACAGGCTGCTTTTTCTCCCTCCCTTTTTTTATAAACCATTGGCTTCTAACACGTGGGAGGCATGTTCCTTTCCAAATATGCTCCTTCTATTCCTTCAAAGGAACAGAAACAGTCTCTTAGCTCTTCTACATATTTTTGGTTGATGTTAGCAAAACCTACACATTAGGACAAAAATTATTTGACTGCTTTATGTCAAGCAGAAGTGCTACTACATCAACGCTTACCCTGGTATTAGTTGGGAAGAACATTCACTTTCAAAAGACGGCAGCGGCATGTAAAGGGGTATCAACAAAGTCAGATGTCCCTCTATCAGACACTCAGCAGCATTTACACAACTCAAGCTGAGAAGGGGTACCTGCTTCCATCCTCTCGTGACGCAATTCTGTATAATTCTGTGATGGCTCTCATCATATACTTAACGTCTCTGTGCCGTGCATCCTTTTCGATAGCCATTTCCAAAGCACAGGGAAATCCAGGAGGGACCATTCATTGTGACTATTCATTTCCCTTTCACGATGTACTCATTAGGTGGGGAGCTTCTCATGGCCCTCACCCACCCTACAGCCTGCTCTCCTCTATGCTCTTTCCTTCCAAGATGGAGCAGAAAATACAGGTCACACACATTATTCTGGCAAGTACCACTCCCTCTCCCCAAGGGACCCACAGCTTCACTCTTATCAGATGATGGGAAATATTTCAGCTATAAATCAAAATGGCATCCTCTCCTTTTTGAAGGGTGCATATCTGCACACCTCATGGGATAGTATGCATGTTGTGATGTGACATGACTGACATCCATCTGTCACATGACCAACACACATCCGTTTCGGTCACATTTCAGAAGAAGTTACCATTTCCACTGCATGGCAGACACTTGCAGGCACCTCATGGAGGAGAGGGAGGTGCAAGGTATCCCTAGCAGTAGCCTTCATGCCCTCAGCAGCAGCCTTGCTGGAGGTCTCCACTGCCACTATGATGGCTCTCTTAAAGGCTCTGTGGGGCCTACTGCATTTTAATTAACAAATCTGTTCAATCTCCAGTTTCAAAACTCTGCAACAGAGACAAATTCGCTACCCACGCCTTCCTATGTAAAGGTGCTCTAGCCGTGATCTCTCTTACCCAGCTACCCAAGGCAAAGAACAGAAACCACACAGGCTGTGACACTGAAGACCAGAATAACCACAGCACTGTTAAAGCATACTGTAGAAATCAACACTTGCGTTGGTGAGCCTCAACTAGATGCATTACAACGTGGGGCTTTGGGAGGGGAGGGGGGTGTTGTTTGCCTCCACTTCCACTTTCCATCCCTATAACTTTCTCTGACATTTTCTGGTTGGTCCTTACTTGGCCTATATTTCCCGGGTTTTTCAAGATGAAGCCAGGTGAACTATTCTGCTACTTTGCTTTTTAATTCCTTTCCCAAAGCCACGTTCGCGCCTGGGACAAAAATGATGCCTTTCCTCTCAACGAAAATAAACAACTCAAATTCTGCTTTGTAAGCAAATTGTTGTATTCCTCAAGCAACTTTTCATAATCTCAGAGAAAGCTCATTGACCAATATTGCTCAGAGCTTGAAACTACAGTCAATAAAAGCTTTAGTAGCATTTACAAGAATAAGGACATCTCTGAGCTACTGGCTCCATACTAAGCTTATATAATGTTGCTCACAATTGTTCAGAGCAGGACTTCCTGAAGTGTTGGTGCAAAACCTAATTCAACACCCACAGACTTCAGAAAAAGCAAACAAAGGACAAAGCCAAGCCTTGCTGAAAACTCCAAACCTTTTGCTTATCCTGAATTGTAGCATTAAGTTCTGAGCACATGCAAAAGTCAAGTATGGAAAAATGCCCACATATTAAGAGATACTGCTGAGACTTGACCAAAGACTGTAAATCCCTCAAGGTGACTACTCCCTTCATCAAAATCCAAGGTATGTGGCTATAAATAACATTAATGCAAACACAGCTACAAGAAAACTGTTGTTGCAAGAAAGAGAGTTTGTCATTCAGAAGAGCAAGTTAAAAACATAGCTTTGAGAATAGGGAACCCGCCCAAGATGCCTCTGGGAACATAGCCACTTTATGTTTGATTGACAAGTTTACTCATTTCCCAACATCCTCCAAAGAACATACCTGCTTCTGCAGATGTGTAAAATCCACGCAATATTATCTCAAAAACAACCAGAAAATTCTCATCCCTTTTGCTAATCTTTTAACTTATAATCTTGTTCCGCAAAGGTCAAACCAGCAAGCTTACCCTCAACACCAGGAACTGTTCAAGCATCCAAGCCAGCCTACAGCCTTGTTTTTGAAGACTGAACACAAAACTGCTCCAAAGTTTTCAGATCCTTCAGTCATACCTCTGACACGCTGGTGTTTCCCATGTCTTTCACTTCACATTATGTTAATCTGCCTTCCACTCTCATTACTTCTGCAGATCTCTCTCACTGGCTTTCACCCAGCGGTCACAGTTAGCAGACACCGAAAACAGATCATACACTTGATGATCCAAGACAACTGTCATTAGCAAATACACAGCAGAAGGGGAATAAGATAATAAAAGATAACCCTCCCACACTTAAAATTAACCTTGAATTAAAATGCCATTCACAAGCATAAACACAACTGTCCTCAGATAGTATATATTGATCTCAGGCAACTCTGGTGACTTCACACTGAAAGACTTAAAACTACAATGGTTTTGTTGGACTCCATTTGCAAGTACGGGGCACAAGTATATCAAAGGAGGAATGAGAGTCTTAGGGGTTTTTTGCTCTAGTCAGATGGTGATTTCCTTATGCTGGTCAGTGAAAGCAGACTGAATTAGAGATGGTCAGTCAACTTGGACTCATTCAGACAAAGAAGTACATTCATGATCTGAGGAATTAGCAACACTCAACTTTGTTTTCTGATACACTATGCTAACACTTCTGGGGCGTGTGCCCAAACAATATCACAATACAATGAGTCAGGATCGTTCCAATCGCTTAGGGTCTTCACCAGAACTCATTAAAACCAGGAGGATGGGAGAATCTGCTGCAGTGATTTTTGGATCAGACCAGAGCTTTAAGAGTTTCAAGGCAAGATCTGAAGAGGAGATAGCCTTCTGTGTTCTTTCACAGAATATGCCATGTCTGTTCCTCAACCATCTCACGTTGGGGCCAGCTCTTCTGTATCAATCTTTTTGCTCTAGGGTTTCTAGCAGTGAGCATTTTAACATGAAGGCCAGCTTCTACTCAGCATTCATGTTACTCACATATTTTCATAATGATACTCCATAGTATAGTATATGCATAGTATAAGTATATGACACTTCACCTTTTACTCCTGTATCCAACTCCCCTTTACACATCCCACATATCACAAGGTGGCATAGTATTGTTAATCCTATGCAAATTATTTTCCTACAGACATATAACAAAGCTGTAGCAAAACCAGAAATAGAATACAGACCCCCAAGATTCCAGTTTCAGGCACTATAAACATGTCCTGCCTAATCTCTTCATGTTCAT